ATAGAGTACTCTGCTAATCAGAACTACAAAGCTGTTCAATAGTTAATATTTAGAAGGTTTGCGTGTTCTGTTGTGGTTCTTCGGTTGGTGGTTGACTGACTGCTGAACAGCAGATAATTGCCTGAAACCACAAGGGTAGGTGTCACAAATCTTTAACCTTGTAGACATCATATCCAGTCTCACAAGATTTTAGCCATGTTAATGTGAAATGTAGAAATGTTTTATTAATACAACTGCATCTTAAGAAACCTCAGTGTAAATCTTCATCTGTGCTAGCTGATAATGAGGGCAGGTATTATGATCTGGAGATGCATACTAACCTGCATAGAGCCTTTATCTGATAGTTCTACATTAAGAGACAGCCAAAGTGGACCTTTTTTTTGACTGGGGCAAAGGCAATGAAAAACTTCTCAGGAGAGACTTGGAAGAGGTGAAAGTAAGCAGATGTGTCTGAACAGTCATGGGAAATCATTGAAAGTAAGGGGAAGTACTTGCAAGTGAGGGAGATTGAAAAGGCCTCTAAATTTGGGTGGAGTAAATGTGAAAACAGGAAAAACAAAGTAGGTAAAGAAAAATGTATTGCAGAAAAAAATGAAAAAGATCTGATTCTTTTCCCATCTGAGTTTGATGTGGAAACGCTTAGGATGACTTCTACACCATGACCCTTCTTTTCAGGGGTTTCATCAAACAACTTGTCTCTGATCATAGAGTCTTGACACCCACATTCTTGGAGGTAGACAGTGTGACCCCTAACATTTAAAAAGGATTCAAGGAAAAATCTAGGAAGCCAGCAAAGGTCTGATATATTTGGTGGCCGAATTAGTTAAAACTGAAAGCACCAAGTTGGGGAATTTATGTAGAAAAATTATCTGTGGGACAGACAGCATGGCTTTTGTAAAGTGAAGTTGTTTTTTAAGAGCTCCTTGAAGGAATTTTGAAGCACATAGATAAGGGAGATGTGATACAGTCTTCTCTGGTTTCCAGGTGGTAATTAACAGGATCTTAAAAGACTGTTAAGAAAAGTAAGGAGCCTTGGGTTAAGAAGTAACGTTGTGGCATTGAGTGGTTTTTGTCAGTTTTAAGTAAGTTTAAATAAGTTGAAAGCTAGAGCACTATGTAGTAATAACATAATTTTTGGGCTGGAAGGGTGTCTCCCTGACATTTTCACCAATGCCTGTGTTGTTCATGCTCTTTTCTAGTCATTTATGAATGCTGAGTAATTTGGTTATAAAGTTTGCTGCTATTCAAAGCAGATTGCAAAACTGTAAGAGGAAGTCACTGGGGTGGGTAACTAGGTGTTAAAATAATGAAAACAAAAAATCCATGGTCTTAAATGTAAAGTCATGCAGTTATGGGAAGAAGTGTTCCCACAAAGCTAGACTCAGTCTTGTTAAAGTTAGACTCAGTCTTGTTAAAGTAGAGACCAGAAAGGTTCCGATTTCATGTGAAAAAATAGGACTGTGTCCTTCACCTTCTGTGCTTTGCAGGAAAATCAAATATTAGGAATTACAGAGAAAGGGATGGGTGGTGAAACAGGGCACCAACATGCAGGTTTTTAAGAACTTTAGCACTATGGTGAAATCTTAATGCATTTTTGATACCTATCCACCCCTTCTCAAAAACAAAATAGTAGAATTTAATAGACTAATAGTAAGGATGATCAAATGCCTGTAAAGTGCAGCATGTGAGAACAAATAATTAGCCTGTAAAGTCCTTTTCTAGCCTGGAAAAGAGACGGTTTTGAAATCTGAGAAGTTGCAAGTGATGTGGAAGATGAGTAACAATCAAGTGGTCTGTTTTTTGTGTGAGGTCCAGTTAGTGCTGAATGAAACTAAAAGCTGGCAGATTGAGAACAAAAAAAAAGTTTTACTTCTTGATGCAAGATGTAAGTAAGCTAGTGTGCCTTGCTGAAAGATGCTGTTGATGCAGAAAGGTTCAATGAGTCCTAGGAGTATGTGGAAAGTTGGAGAGAGTTCTGGGGAAGGATTGCTTTATGCTTTGCCTGTCGTACTATGTCAAGTCAGACAAAAGTTCACCACGTGTGAAAATAAATATAGTTAATTGAGTTATTCAGAAAGTTCTTGCCCTTGAAGAGTGCTGAAGCTCAACAGAGATATTCTCTGAGGTGAGATTATACTGGAGCAGTAATCATTTTTACTGTGTATAAAGGTGCAATATTACCTTTGCAAAGGCACAGAGTTAAATCTCTAGTTTCCAAAATATGTTTTTTACTCCAACACTGAAGTGTAAAACAACTTGTTTATTGTTCAGAATATAGATTGGAAAAATGTATCATTCTGTTTATAAGGCCAGCAGGTAGAAAGCAATCAAGTCTCTCCACATGCCTGAGAGGACCTTCCTAAAATGGATTTAACTTTTACACTTGAATGGATAGCAATTTTAGAGAAAAATCTCTTCACCACAGGGGAGAGCAGTCAAAAAGATTGTTCTGTTAGGTGGTGCTCCATTAGAATGAAAAGTTGTAATTAACAAGATTTTAAAAATATTAGGAACCTTGGTGCTCTTTGTAGTTCATTTTTCTATTTTTACGTGATTGTCCTGGTTTGAGCTAAACAGGACCAATTCTACTCAGTGATTTGACTTTCCAGCTCAGTCTATTCTAAGAGGCAGACATCACTTTCTGAAGGTAACTGCGTGTTTGTGCAGACAGGGCCTGCTGCTGGAAGGAATAACGCTGGTGTTCATAGTTACTGTGAAGGATGAAGATGCAGAAAGAGTCTGGCTGATACTTGCATGTGTCACAAAGAAGTATAAAAGTCACTCCTGCAAGGAGGAGCAGGCGAGACAAGTGACCCAAACCCAACCAAGAAAGTATTCCATTCTATATATGTCATGTTCAGTATAAAGCTGAGGGATCACAAGGATTAAGGCCTCTTCCCTGGAAGGATTTAAGGAGAGGCTGGATGTGGCACTTAGTGCCGTGGTCTGGTCAGTGTGATAGTGTTGGGACATATGCTGGGTTTGATGATCTCAGAGGGCTTTTCCAGTCTCAACAATTCTGTGGTTCTGTGATTCTTTAGTGGCCAATTTCAGAGGAGGACTCGCCGTGGGGAGGAGTAGAGTTTAACAGAGAGCATCTGTCATTTATTTAGTGGCTGGACCAGCCCTAACCCTTGACATTAATTGAACTTTTGTCGACAGGTCTTGAGACTCTTGGAACTCCTGAGGGTCCTAGCTTTCGATGGAAGAACCTTATCCTTCAGTTGAAAGCAGAGGCTTTGATTAAAATAGCAGATGATGATGCTGCAGAAGAAGCCATTAAAGCACTTGAGCAGGTATTTTCGTTGATTAAAATGTACATTTATTTTTTTAATTGTAAAAAATACTGTCATCTTGCTGTACTAAAAACTCAAGCAGTGTATTTCACCTCTTGCCTCCTTTTTACATTCTATGTGATTTAGACAACTCCTACAAACTGTGGTGTGGTCAGAACATTCCTTCCTTCTATACTTTCTTAGACTTTGCTGCAACTCTTTAAATTCTGATTTTAGAAGCTCTCACTTTTGACCTTGTCTGGTCTTGGTCAGTGCTGATGGGTTCTTGGTAGTTCTATGGCTGTTGTTCATCTTAATTTGAATTATTGTTGTAATCCTGGTCTCCGTGTCCTTTATTTATCTGCCATTGGTCATAAACAGGACTGTATTACTTAAATATTAAATGGTTAAGCCTTAAGCAGAAGATGCTTCCCTTCTTTTTGATTTCACAGTTTCATTCTTCACTGTTCAAACTTCTGTCCTTTCTCCTTGATCTCTACAATCTCCTACGTGTTCTCCATCAAAGTTAGTCTAAGGCTTCTTCTTGTCTTTATCTTCATGCAGTCTCCCTGCTTTTGACTCTTTTAATTTCTTAATGTGTGGACAGAATAACTTGGTGATGTCTGTTGCTTGGTTTTGTAGATCGTGGATGCAAGCAGTGATCCATTGGTTTTAGCCATCAGAGGTCGTGCTTATCTGAACAAAGGTTTAATGGATCAAGCTTCAAAGGTGAGTGCTGTATTATCATTCCTGTGTGCTGTCTAGAATTCTTGGTTGCGTAGGGCAAATAACTAAGGAAGAACGATGTCCTCTTGCAGATTTCAGAAGAGCTTCTGTTATCGCACCCTGATCTGGCTGAGTCCCATGCTCTAGAGGGTTTCATCCACTATTCCCAAAAGAATTATGAACAGGCAGAAATAAGGTAGATTTTTTTTTTCCCCCGTCTTTTAGTGTTTAGTGAAAGAAAATAGTGATTTGCAGCTTTTGAGAATTTGTCTGATCCTCTGTTCCTTTTGTTTAGTTTTCTAAATGCTATTGAAAGGAAGACCGAAACTGCAGAGTACCATCAGTACCTGGGGCTCACCTATTGGTTCATGAGTGATGAGACAAAAAAAGACAAAGGAAAAGCACTCACTCAGTTCTTGAAGGTAAAGGCTGCTGTAACAATTCGTTTAGAATTGGTGTTTTCCTGTATCAGAAATGAAGTACAGAAAATCCACTGACTGGAATGACAGACTTGAATATGCTGCTTGTTACGGTTTACAAGCCTCCACAGCCTTTAAACCAAGTTCAGCGCTGCAGAAAGACATTGCAGGGAGCTGTGCAGTTACCTGGAACCTCCCTGATTTTGTTTTCCTGTTTTCACCTAATTCTTGAGGCCTTTGATTTAGCCAAATATAATGATTCTCTAAATCTTCTCTACTTGAGCGTTGGAAAATTGAATCCTGTAGGTGTACAGCATTGGTGTTTGAAGACAAAATTCAAATTGGAAAAAATTGGGGGAGGAAAAAAAGATAAGAATGGTGTTCCAGTTTTGTTGTTTGTCTGTGGAAGAAATCCTTCAAAACCTCACAATTTATATGCTTCTACTGATCTTTGAGTTTTTGGTGGTTGTGGCTTTTTCTCTGAACATAGGTGGGAAAGTAAGTCTGAAATATTTAGTCTGACATCTTTACTGGGAACATGGAAGTATACAAAATAAGTCCCTAAACTTTGTAAACTCACCTTATAACTTCATGATCAATGTTAGCAACTTAAATCATTGCCCGTTGTTTGCACTTCCATAACAGCAAAGTGGAGAACGTAGTTGAAGCAAACAGTACCTTTGGTTCTGAACTGTTTTATGTGATGGGTTTAGGTTTTCTTATTGTTGTCAAAGCTGTTCTCTACTGCTTGGGGGCTGTGCGTTTCTTAAGTATAAACAAATCTGCCAACTGTAAAAAGGGCTTAAACCTTAGAAAAGGCTGGAATTAAATGTGATATATTATATGAAGAATATGTACATAACAGTTGAAACAGAGTAGGATATGAAGATGATGGGATGTAGTAAGGAATTATTTTCTCCTATTAGCTTTGTGTCATAAGGTTTATAGGAGATTCCGCAAATATGTAAAGCTGAAATCTTGAAGCTTGACTAGTCAGACATGTCATGGAAGAAGCGTAAATAAGTTGATCGCAGAGAGCGAGCAAGTAATTATCACCAGACCTGTCAATCACTATCATCCTTCAAAATACTGTCTTACGTTGTGTTCGTATTTCCTCATAGGCTGCAAAATTGGACAGCTACTCGGGAAGTGCCTTTTGTTATTTAGGTAACTACTACAGAGACGTTGCTGGAGACAAAAGTAGAGCTCGTGGTTGTTATAAAAAGGCTTTTGAACTGGATGGAACTGATGAAGGATCTGGAACAGCAGCTGTAGACTTAAGTGTGGAACTTGGAGACATGGTATTGTACAATCAGGGCTTTGGGTTACTGCTCCTCTGTTTTTCTGTTAATCCTGGTTTTTGAGGATTCACTTCAGGTTTCCTCTGTATTTGAGAATAAGATCTGAAAACAGATGTTCTGTCAGTGCTTAAAAGCTTTCATAGCTGGACTTGCTTCATTTTTATGCTTCAATTCTAAATTAAATCTGTCTCAGGAGAAAGGATGGGAGACCAAGCATAGCATTGTGGTTGTCACGTATGTGATTGAGAGGAAGGATTTTTTTCTGTAGGTGACATGAAGAGAAGGTTAGTTTTCTTCTCATATTTAACTTGTGCCACTTCTTTTCTCCATCTTACACCTTGCTGCTCTCAGGAGAAGCATACAAAACCATGAGAGCATGTGAAAAATATTTCTTTTATAGCTTATTTTGTATAAAAAGCTCTTAAGCCTATGATATTACGGAGCAAGAAAACAATCCATACTTTGACAGACTCCATTTGAATATCTGGAAAGTCAGTCTAAGTATCTGAATTCCTGCTAATACTTATATCCTTCTCTAGTTTAAAAAAAAGAAATTAAAAAGTAGTCTCTACAAAAGTGCAGGAAGCTATTGTCTATTTGCAAAGATGTGCATAAAAATAATCAGGTCTCTAGATGTGATAATTTTCCTCCTCTAATCTGCCACTCAGCTTGCCAGCTTTAAAAGACTCTTGTGACGTTTCTTCATTACAGTAATTAGCAGATTAGACAGTTTAATGGTTTGATAGATTAGCAATATTCTCCTTTATCAAGAACTTTGTTCTTCACACATTATATATGTTTACTAACCTGGTGGTTTTGGTGCTTTGTTAGGACACTGCTCTGTCAATCCTGAATGAGGTAACTGCAAAAGCAAGTCCTGGTACAGCGAAGTGGGCCTGGCTTCACCGTGGAATTTACTACCTGCAAATTGGTGAACCCTTACGAGCAGTGGCTGAGTAAGAGAACTGGTGGTTGGTTTAAGCCATTTTCTCTAAATCCCAGTGAAACGGTCTGTGATTTTACTGAGTTCTGACACTACGTTAGCTGTTTATAGGATGGCTTGTACTAAACAATGGGAAGCAGTTCTGAGCAAGCTGTTTCTCCTTCAATTCCAAAATTAGCATAATATATAGTCTTGTTGGCCTAGCAGTGTTCTCTGCTAACAAGTCTGGTGACAGGCTTGTCATAGACAAGCAAGGTATAGCACTGAATGATGAGCCAAGATTTAGTACGATGTCTGAAGTTGTATAATGTGCTCTGAAGATGAAACACTGCTATGCTGTGTTTAAAAGTTCTGTGTAACAGCACATTTGTGTCCGGAGAGTATTCAATATAAAGAAATAATTTGTTTATGCTAACATGTATCGCCTTTTATGGAAATAAATTTGTATCTTGATATTTCCAGTTTGCAGGCAGCTCTCAGGGCTGATCCAAAGGATTCCAACTGCTGGGAGTCTTTAGGGGAAGCCTACTTGGAGAGAGGTAGCTATTCAACAGCTCTGAAATCCTTCAGGAAAGCAAGTGAGCTGAACCCAGAGCTTGTGTACAGCATTTTCAAAGCTGCAGCAGTTGAGCAGATTCTAGGCAAATACGAAAACGCTATAGCAACCTACCAACAAATCTTAAAGAAGACAGAAGATTACGTGCCTGCACTGAAAGGTAATATGGCTGAATTTGAAAGTGTTTACTCTTTCTCCCTCTCCACTCTGTAGTGCTTTAGTCTTGTGGAGAGGTTCGTGGTGTGTTGAGGTTTGACTGCGTGGAAGGATAGAGTTGGATTTTTGCCATGTAGAGTACCATGATCCTCTGCATGAAAGCTACGGTGTAGTGGCCTGCAAGTTTCTGAAGAGCTGGTAACCCACGATGCATGGAAGTGATTATTTATCTTTCAAGTAAGTGCGAAAGGTAATTATTCCTGTGTAGCTACCAGGCCAAGCGCATAGAATAATTCAAGATAGATGGAGGAGGCCAGCTCATTGTGCTGCAGTTTCAGCTAAGCAGTCAAACAGTGGCTCAACAGGCAATGGAGTCAGGCTGGCATTTCAGAGAGGTGGGCTAGACTAACTTTCTGATGCTCCTAACCATGCATTCCTCATTCTTCTGTTAGCTGTAGAGATTCAGAACCCTTTGAGCTTCTTCAGGTCATGAAAAGTAGCGGTAAATGTTCCTAAGACATCTCACCAGTGGTGATTGGTAGAGGACTTCAGTATATAGCCAGGAGCAGAGAGCAGTGGGGGAACTGAAACTCCTTTCAGGTGACAGAAATGAGATTCTCAAGATATGTAATATTGGGAGGGTATAAAATTTTGATAGCCAATGAAGAACTGGTTCACATTCTCCCAGCCACTTGGTTTTCAGTCGCTCTCGATGCGTGCATCCCTCTGAAATAGACGTTACTTGATTTTTAAGTTATGATGTGTTGGTTTTTTGTGCGTAAGGCCTTTTAGATTTTTGAGTGAATATAAGTTGATTCTTGTAAAACTAAGTCAGAGGTTCTGGGTTACTATTAAACAGCAAGACTTTCATCTGAGAAGGCTCACAGGGTGTTTGTCCCTCTACCTCCTCCTCTGTAATTTTGTCACTTGCGAGTTTTCCATACTGAAGGGAGGTGGCAAAAGCTCCATGGTGGAGTTGGAGGGTATTGCGGAGAGGCAGTTTGACTAGTTGTCATGCAAGAAGGCAACAGCTGACAGCAGTTTGCAAAGGTGTTATATAGAACCGTACACATGTATATGGCTTTTTTGTTGTCTGTAGGTGACAGCTGACAGCATTACTCAGAGTGAAATGCAGAGAGAGGGCATAAGCGCATGGTATTGAGGTTTCTCCCCCTCCAGTTTCCTCTATATTTATTCTTTTCTTAAATCTCCTAAATCTTTACTCATAAATCTCTCTCATTCTGTTAGTTCCAGATGCTACTCTGAGTCTCAGAACAGCCTTCTTGGAGGCTGTTTAATATTTAGTGTTATATGCTACATTTGTGGGCTGCCTTAAAACTTTCTGAAACATACGTTGGTGTTCTTCCGGTACTGTTCTGATCAGTTTGGACAGTTTTTAAATTGAATTGTTGGAAGCGTAGTCTTCTTGTACATAAGAGAATAACTTAACTGATGTTACTTGAATGCATCTTTTTGATGTGTATTATTTTTGTGTTACTAAATGTTGTATTTATTCTGTCTATGCCCCAGCATATTTTTTAGTGTATAATTTCGGGAGATAAAATCAGTATTGTTTTTAGATTACAGAGTTTCTTGACATCTAAGAAGCTCATGGTCTTGGGACTTCTCTTTAATCAAGATAAATATCTAGAGAGGGTGAGATAAAAATGTTAGCAAAACATGTCTGCTATGATTAGTAGTTAGTAAAGGTAGGTTACTATGAGGAAGGTAGCTTCAGAACTGTGAAAATTATATTGAGAACAAGTGGTACTCATAGACAGTGAGTTGCTGCCAGACAGCTGGTGCAAGCAAGGGTATAAAGCAAGCAGTTGCCTTGTTGGTTCCAAAATGCTAGAAATTACAGCATTAGATGCAGTTCCTTTTTAACAGTTATTTCTGTACGTGGTGAGTTGGCCCAGTGCCTGCCAACCCTCACTGTCACTCCATATCTCAGCAGAATGGAGGTAGGGGAGAAAATAAGATGGAAAAAGCCATAGGCTAAGATTAATGTAGTTTAATAAGGCACAAGCAAATGCCACGCATGAAAGCAAAGGAAAACAAAAGATTTATTCTCTTCTTCCCACAAGCAGTTGGTGTCCAGCCGCTTCCTAGGAAGCAGGGCTTCGGTAGGCGTAGCGGTTGCTCTGGAAGGCAAACGTAATAACAAAGGCCCCTGCCACTCCTCTTCCGCCTCTCTCTTAGCTTTTATTACTGAGCAGATGTGATAGGGCCTGGAATATCCCTTTGGGCAGATCAGATCAGCTGTCCCAGCTGTGTCCTCACTGAAGATCGTGCCCACCCTCAGCCCACTGGCGTTGGGGAGCGAGGTGGGGGAATGTTGGAGAGACAACCTCGGTGCTGAGGGAGTCCTGCTCGGCGGTGTGTTACCAACACCTTTCCAGCTGCCCCTACAAAGCACAGCACTGTGAGTGCTGCAGTGGCGGAAATTACCTCCATCTCAGCCAGACCCAGTAAACCATATGAAGTAAGTTCTTACACGAATAGGATTTAATGATGTTGATTCCAAGTCTTCTTCAAAGATAACTTTTCCTTTTGCCTGCATTGGCATTCTTTCTCCTTCTTTTGTTTTGGCAATGATGTTTGACTTGTGGGGCGTTTGTCAAAGACTTATCAATAAAAACCAGATTTCTTATGAGGACAGGCCCAAAGCTTAAATGCTATGGAGTTTGTAATTAATTAGGTTTATTTTAATGTTCAAAGTATTCTTCAGTTTGAACTTGACAGGTTAGGGTAAAAGCAAGATCTCTTTTTGTGAGCACCATAGGTCTTCTGATTTTGGCATAACCTTTGCAGGGTATAAATCTTTATTTCAAGCAGAACACTGAGCAGGCCTGTAACCTCCCACCTCACCTCATTTATCAAGCGTATCATAACAGCATCTCTTTTCACAGAGATTATTTTCTCTTATTTTCAGGACTGGGTGAGTGCTATCTCATGCTGGCAAGATCAGCCCTTGAAAACTTTTTTGATAGGAAGGCTATGGATTTCATAGAGCAGGCTCTTGAATTTTTTACAAGGTTGGTACTAAATATTCACTTACTTCATTTTCACTGGGATTGTGGCTTGATATGCACAAAGAATAAGAATTAAATGAGAAATTTTAGTTAAAATAAATTGAATGTACCAGGCTTCTCATCCAGAAGTAAGCATATGCTTATTGAAAATGGCTTGAATAATACATTCTGGACTTAGCCTGCCTAAATGAATGGTAGTTACAGAGTTTTATTTTTTTCTCTTTAAAGATGCAGAGTCATTTGATTATAAAACAAGCGTGAATGACGCACAGATCTCTCTAGCAGTCCTACTATATGGGACTGGGAGAAGGGCATTTCTGCTGAAGATGGTGGATGAGAGGAAATTGTTCCTTCCCTCTCTCAATCTCTTTTTATTTTTGCATTTCCTACATTATGCTTTAGTGTCCTAAATTAAACCTGGGGATAGCTGCTGTTACAGGAAAGGTCCCTCAGCTTTCTGCAGATGATTCATGTCTTGTAATACAACATGATAGTGCTTTGAAATGCAAGAGTGGGTGTAGTCAGCTGACATGTTCATAGATAATAGCTAATTTTCAGAACTAACTCTTAGTCCCAACAAAATTGGGATACATAGGCATTTTGTAGTTTCTCTTTGATTATTTTTGACCTTTTAGACCTATAGCTTGAATAGGAAGAAAACTGAATAAAAAAAAAAAGAAAAAAGGTCAAGCAGCTCATTGATCAGTTACATTTGAGTTTGTGCCAGTCTTCACAGTGGTGAACTTTTTTCAGAAAAGGATACTGAAATGTCTGAATGGGTGTTGTAAGGGTTTTCTATATCATTAATTACAGGGCCATAAAGAGCCGTCCTGATGTATGTTGCCTCTGGAAACTGCTCGGAGATAGCTGTATTAGTGTGCATCTAATTTCACCAGCCAAAGTGAATATTCAAGTTCCAGGATTCCTTCTGGGTAAAAATGCAGGCAAGCAGATGCTGAAGAAAAGTGAGATGCTTGTACTGGGAGGAAGGTAATAATTTTTCTCTAACAAGAGCTTCTATTCAGCTTGACACTATGTATGAAGTATTCAAGACTAATCCATTTCTAGAAAATGAAAGACATGCTGATCTCTTGATGCCTGCATTTTGAGCAAAGGTGAATGAGGTCGTGAACAGAGTCTCATGCTTCTTCCAAAATTCACTTCTCATTTCAGAATATGTTTTCTGGATTGCCAGTGGCTGTCAGTGCTTCATCTAGGACCTGCTCTTCTCCTTGTGTCTGTCCCCAGAGCATCTTGTCATTCAACACGTTATGTCTCTTTAAACAGAGTGGTTGCAGTGGTTGCTAACTGATTCTCCCATGACTACTAAAGTCCAAGATAATACGTTAAGCTTTCTTTCCATACTTCTTTCTCACAAAAATGTCATCAGTTCTGGCCCTAGGTATGGGCTCAAGAGTACAATGGAAGAGCAATTTCTTGTTTCTGGCCCTGAAAGGTCATGATGGTAGAAGATATTTGTCGTATTTCCATAGCCTCTTCTGTAACTCCCTCTGAGCTTTGAGATGTGTGAGGCAGAAGTGCAGCTGCCTAGTAAATCTCAGCCACAGTATGTGGAGGTAATTCCCAGGGGAAGTCTGATTAACTGTAAAAATGACCGATGAAGTAAAAGCATGCATATTGCAACTGACACAGCTTTAATTTAGTGCACATCTCTGACTTCGCAAGTGCTGGCACTACACTGCCTTTACACTAGGATAGAGTCTGTGAAGCTCTGAAGAAAAAACAGTTAATTGTTGTTTGCTTTCCATTCTCGTTTTATTTGTATTTATGCATGTTTGCTTGATTTAGGTTTATAGGCATCCTTTTTAATGTTCTATTTTCAGCTGTCTGTTCTTCATGTAGAGAGGCTTGGAATAATGCTTCTGTGATTCATATTTCTGTAGGTGTTACGGCAGAGCTTTAAAATTGATGCCTTTGCCTAGCATATGGTGTGATCTTGGAATAAATTATTATCGACAAGCAGAGCACCTCACAGCAGTGGGCACTGATGAGAATGAGATCAGCGAACTGCTAGAGAAATCTTTACAGGTATTGTCTCGTTTTCATGTTACATTCTTTGGAATTTCATTTGGCGTTGGTGCTTGTCTGCACGCTCTCTGTCCTTGATAAAACCTACCTCTCTGAACAAGTAAGTGCATAAAGGTCTTAATTTTTGTTCTTCTAGGAATTGTAATCCACATTTGATTTTCTTCCAGTGTCTCAAAAAAGCTGTGAGACTTGACAGCAAAAATCACCATTATTGGAATGCACTTGGTGTAGTTGCTTCCTGTAGTGGTAAGTCTTCTGCAAAACCCCTAGCTCCATATATCCAAAATTAGAAGGCAACTTGACTAATGGTATTTATGAAATTCAGTTAGATCTAGCTCTCTTTTCTTTTTTCCCCCCTCCAGCTATTGGGAATTATGCTCTTGCTCAACATTCGTTCATCAAATCTGTTCAAGCTGAGCAAATTGTAAGTGCTGTAGGCAGCTGCCATCTGTTTCAAGTGGGCATTTAAAACTTTTTTCTCCTGATGCTGTGTTATTTTTGAATATAGTAATAATACATTGCTTTTAACTTCATTTTTCCTCTCTAGAATGTTGTTGCCTGGACCAACTTGGGGGTTCTGTATCTGGCAACTGGAAACATTGAGGTAACTTTTACATCCTCAAATATAGTTTCTATTTCCTTTTTTTTTTTTCTTCTTTAAGGGAGTATATTGGGGCAGGGGTGTGGGCAAACAATAAAGAGTGTCCCTCTCAGAATCAAGAAATGTGCTTCCTTTGAATGGAGTTAAACTGGCACCTATACCTTAGTTGACACACATGAATGAATTAAATATTTGTTCTGGAGGGTATAAGTAACCTTCTTCTGAATGGATGAGGCTGCTTTCCAAGCAACTGGATGGAATGAAAAGTGTTTGGAAGCACTGAGAAGTAGTTAATCAAACCAATGCACACCAAGTTTGACCAAGAACTCTTTTAACTCTAAGTCAAAAACTGAAATTTTAGTTTGCGTTTCCCATAGGCAGCTGCTTTCTGCTCGTCAACCTGTCATATGATTTCTTATAATTCTGTGTAAACCTTCAGACTTCTAGGAAAAAAATGGAGTATATCTTAAATTAAGTCCAGAGTTCTCATGCAGCTAAAATTAATCTTATTTCCTGCTCAGAATTAAAGAAATTTAGTTCAACTGGAAATATAAGGGTCAGAATTACTTTTAATAGAAGTAACTTGATACTGCAGACTGCTTTACTGCTAAGACTACTAATGCTAAGACTTTGTTCACCTCATACCGTGTTGAGGAAGGAACTCTAAGCATGAGAAATCCATAAGGGAAAGGTAATTTGTATATGGCGATGAGTTTTGAAACTGATTGAAAATGTGATTGTTTAACTGTTTACATGAAGGAAAAGCAAATTTCCAAAACTGGATCCTCCAAGAGTGAGATTTTTAAATAGTGAAATAATAATGGTTCTGAGAGGTAATCTATCTGATGAACTGTTTTAAGAAGTGTATTTGTAAGGGGAGGGAAACTTTAACTTGTAAAGATGACTTTTCTTTTTTACAAAATAACATTGAATTGGTTTATTTTTCTGGGCAATGCATTGTTCTCTGTGGCACAGTAGATACTTTTGGTAATGACCTAATTTTGGCCATGAATCTCTTCCTATACTACTGCATGTCAGTACCTGTGTATACTCAGAAGTGCTTTGTTGCCATGCCAGACAGTTCACTCTTACCTTTGGTTCTACAGCAAGCTCATGAAGCCTTCAAGGTAGCCCAGTCTCTGGAGCCCACTTACTTACTGTGCTGGATTGGGCAGGTAAGGTGATGAAACATCATAAAGCTGTGTACCAAAACCAGGTGGTAATCAAAGACAGAACTGGGACTCCATCCCAGCAACCGGCAACTAAGCTTGTTCATGAAGATTGAATTTTGCTTCCCCTGTGGGTGAATGGGACCCTTTGTTCCCGTAGTAGTAGTACAATGAAAGCTACATTCATCAGGTATCACAGAATCTCGGGGGTTGGAAAGGACCTCTGGAGATCACCAAGTCCAGAGCAGGGTCACCCAGAGCAGGTCACACAGGAACGCGTCCAGGCGGGGTTTGAAAGTCTCCAGAGCAGGAGACTCCACGCCCTCCCTGGGCAGCCTGTGCCGGGGCTCCGGCACCCGCACAGGGAAGAAGTTTCTCCTCATGGTGAGGTGGAACTTCCTGTGTTCTAGCTCACACCCATTATTCTTTGTCCTCTTACTGGGCACCCCTGAAGAGACTGGCCCCTTCCTCTTGACACCCATCCCTCAGATATTTCTCAACCGTCTCCTTTCAAGACTAAACAGCCCCAGTTCTCTCAGTCTCTCTTCACAGGAGAGATGTTCAAGTCCCTTGATCACCCTCGTAGGTCTCCATTGGACTCTCTCCAGTAGGTCCCTGTCTCTCTGGAACTGGGGAGCCCAAAACTGGACATAGGATTCCAGGTGTGGTCTCACCAGGGCAGAGCAGAGGGGGAGGAGAACCTCCCTAGACCTGCTGGACACACTTTTCTTAATGCCCCCCAGGATCCCACTGGCCCCCTTGGCCACAAGGGCACGTTGCTGTCCCAGGGACAACTCACTGCCCACTGGGACTCCAAGGTCTTTCTCCACGGGGCTGCTTTCCAGCAGGACGACCCCTAATCTGTGCTGGTGCCTGGTGTTTTTCCTCCCCAGATGCAGGACTCTACACTTGTCCTTATTGAACTTCATGAGGTTTCTTTATATAATGTTTTTCTGGTGGATGTTTTGAGTTCTGTAAGAAATCAGCTCTTAGAAAACAATCACTGTTTGTGCTCTGAGGCTTTTTTGTCTGCTTTATAAGATCATTCTAGGTGCACAGCTGACCTGCTAGTAGTATCCAGCTGAAAACTTTAGTCTGGGGAAAAACTAGTTCCATCACATGCCAAAATTCAACTCCTGACAGATGTTGTTGTAATTTGTCCTAACGCACAAAGTCTTTGTCCTGAAGAATATAAAGTAGCAGCAGCAGGCATTAACTTCTGAGTACTGGTACAGTGGAGACTGCTTGTACTATCTCCTGAGTGCATTTATTTTATTTTTAAAACTGGTATTTCTTGAAGAATATGAGGAAAAGAAAGTGTCTTCATGTTTAATGCCCAAGATGTGCCTGAAGTGATGTGTGCTGAGTTTCATGTAGATGTCAAGTAACTCATCTCAGCAACTTTTTCTTCTCTGCAGGCTCTTATTGCAGAGCAGGTAGGCAGCTATGATACTATGGATCTCTTCAGGCACACAACTGAACTCAGTATGCATGTAAGTATAACAGTTGTCTCTTCCTGAAGTTTATGCATATCTTATCTCTCGACTTAGTTGATGTAATTTTTTAAAACATAGGTGTATCTTGAAATACGGAATAGTTATAGTCATCTTGTTGAGCTTGTCTGACTTGTAAGTTGTTTTTGGCCTGTGCTGGCGCTGTTATTTTCTAAATGCTTTAGTCTCAATGGCCCAAGAAATCAGCTCCATAAGATGTGAAAAAACATTCTGGATGTTCCACAGAATTAGGCAGAGATCAAGGCCATAAACATAACTATTCCAGGAGAGAATTCCAGTGTTGCCAATACCCCGAGTTCTAAGAAAATGCAGGACTTCACGTTCCTTGTAGGTTTTTTTGCCTGTCATCTCTCCAGTGGTGCAGTAAACAATACATTAAGCTAAGAGTTCTCTTTGCTCAAAGGATGAGTTAAAGCTCCTCTACATGGAGTAATTCAGTCTGATGATTTTTTCTCCTGCTTGATATCAGTATGGACTTTTAACAAAGACTGTACCTTAAAATTCAGAATTGTTATTATAATTTCTAATTATTTCCCTTTTTCTTGAGAAATCTTAATGACTCCTGTTTTGGAATTTATTTTTTTGTTTCTTAAGAATGAAGGAGCAAAAGGCTATGGCCACTGGGTATGTTCAACACTGCAGGATAAAAGCAACAGAAACACTGAACAGTATCTGTACAACATCGTGGAAATGAATGCTATTCCAGCAGCCCAGGTGGTCTTGAGCAAATACACAGGTAGGTAATACAAATGCCTTACTAACCTGTCAAGCCTAACCAGATGCATTCAGAATGAACAGATAAACCTGTATTAGTTCAGGCAAAGTTATCTGGCTGAGTTGGGGAAAGGCTTTTGAACTGTAAAATAATCAGAACAGGCTAGATAAGCCTGATTATTATCATCACACAAAGATGAAGTGGGATCCGAGTTCTGTCTTCATACTCATTCCAGCAGATTTTGTTTCATACACCGATGAAAATAAGGACGAGAGTCCAGTCACACTTGTCATCAGGTGTTTGCTATCAGCTTTCCTTTGGGTTGGTGTCCCTGCACCTAGGTGCAGGTAGATGCTGGCTCCTCTGCCTCTGTGGCTTGATGTCTGCCAAATGCCTGCTCCTGCATGATGTGCAGCTCCATAACCTCGAGCATGTAATTCTGTTAACCTTCAGTAGTAGACAGACCATGTTCTCAGGCACGGTTCCAAGCCAGCATGGCCTCCCTGTTGGGATAGACTTATGTATATCGAACACAGAGGACAGACACAGCAGATAGGGGTTTTCTTTAATCTGCATCTATTACTGTAAATAAATCCTTTTGAGTAATCTGTTGCTGATTTTTGAGAGCTACGAAATAAGATTGCAGGCACTGAAAATTAGATAAATGTGAGACTGTTTCTTTGTCTAGCCTGGGAAAAAAGGTTGGAAGTCTGAGGTGAGATGGCAGCTGACAAATCTGAGCCTTAGCAACCAACAAGCATTTCAGAGTTGTAGTATTAAAAATAAAGCGTAAGATTGCACTAGTATTTTACTAGAGTCAATACAAGCTGAATAGCTGCCTGTTTTATTACAAAAAATCCCAAACCACTGTGAGATGAAAAACTTAAAATATATTGAGTGCATTAATACTGTGTCATAAGATTTTAAATGTTTTTGAGTTATGCTGGTGGCACGGGTCTTCGTATGTCTTCTGTATGAATTTGCCTGCAGCCTGCCAGAACGATTCCAGTGAACAACTGACAGAAGCACTTGGCAAAGTGTTTTGTGTATATGCATACACTGTGGCATCAATGTGGCAATGTTTTTTTACTGCTTTTTCACAGCTCTTTGTGATCATCTTCTCCTGTATTGTCAATTCTGATTTTCTAGAGAGAAATCCGGATGATGCATCTGCTTTCACAATGCTCGGTTATTTGAATGAGTATCTGCATCTTGAAAGGCAGGCAAGAGATGCCTACGAGAGGTAAATTATACACCCTTGGAAGGTTTACAGATAGAAGTTGCTTGACTTCTTTCTGTATGCAACAGCTGAAAAACTTCAGGGTTTTGCTTTTCCTGTAGTAAACCTTTATTTGTCGACTCTGCGGTACGTTTCAAGTAAGTGTACTGGAAGGGGAGCTGTAAGCGTGTTCTTGTATCAAATTTGGAAATGCCGAACGCAGGACTGGAGAAATAAAGGCATTCCAAGGCTTGAGTGTCTTACCAAGACATTTAGCTAGTACCCTGTATGGGATCTGAGCAAAATTTTGGTTAGCTTGGTTTTGGTTTTGGTCTGTACTCCATTCTAATTAATGGAGGTAGTTTGTCTCTTGTTTTTAAATGGTAGGGGAAGGTAGCAAAGGAAGCCATGTTTGGTGCACATGTTTACTGATGCATTAGAATGGTGAAGTAGGCTCTGTTTATGCTTAATTAGCAAAGAAAAGCTTCTGTAAAAACATTTGTCAATTCTGCTCTGAGAACCATTGTCAAAATTTGCCTGTTGTAGTCAGATGGTAATTATTCTTAATTGTGGTTATTTTCAGGGCAGCTTCATTGCTAAAAAACTGTGGGGATACTGAGAAATACAATATAGCAATGCAAAACTATGGCAGATCACTGTGGTAAGTGTTTTTTGGCATATTTTCCCAGCCCTTAACTTCGGTGTTGGATGTAGTGAATAGAGAAGCAGGAAACAAGAATGTTGCTGCAAGGTAAAAGGTTTTTGCTAAAACCAATCTGCTGAGCATCATTCTTAGTTATAGACAAATTTGACTCAACTTCATATGTGCTATAGAAGTGGCTACTGCATTTTAAAGAAAAATTGGATTGCAAGAAATTGCTATTTTTCTTCCCAGTTTGTAACATATCGGCATTTCCCTTGTCCTTAACTTGGTAATTAAGTGTCTTAGCATCATCTACACGATGTCGCTGCTTTATGATCTCCAGAATAAATTGGGTTTTTTATCATTCACACGCTTGTAATACGTAGTAGGATTAGTCTGAATAAAGTAGTTGCTTTAATATTTATTCAAAATCCCTTTACCTGTCCTTGAATTTGCATTGATTTGTACAACCTGAAGCATGTGAGGCTGGGGACTTGTGTACATGTATGTGTTCTTTCTGCTGATGACCCCTCTCTGCTGCGATCCTACTCACAATTCCAAGCTCCCTTCATGATTCCCTTCTGGTTCTGTGGGAGGCAGGACACAAGCCTTAACAGATGAAGATTTCGAACTTCTCTTTGATATGAGATAGCTCAAGTTCTGCTAATTAGATGTCTGTCAGCTTTCAAGGGAAACTTCTTATATTCTTAAGTTTCTCTGCGTGACACTGGAACTTCTAGGCTGTGAGCATCTGATAATTTATTATTTAACTTCAGGTAAGATTTCAGAAGCAAATCTTCAGTTTTCTGTAGCCTCACATTCAAGGTATAGGGGTGGTGGTTTGTGTGTGCAAAAGCTCCAGTAACTAATAACTGATTCTAATAAACACAATTCTGTATGATCTCTTCTGCAGTGGTCTTAGAACAAGAACGCTGTATGTCTGTCTCCACATGACCTTTTCTGTGTGCATGTGTGCTTCAGTTTGCTTTTTCATGTTTCTCCTTTGCTGTTTTCTCCCACTCCACTGTGTTGACCATTAAGTGATGTCCTGGCATAGAGCTGTCATGGAGTTGAGAAGGACTTTTTTGTGTCAACTATTTGTCATGCAACAAGTAGTTGGAGAAAGTAACTGCTGCAACAGGAGAAGAGTGGGGAATATTGCACGTTCTTGGCCTAATATTCTTCTTTTCTAAGTGTCTGCTTACAAATTACGTGGAAGAGGACACTGGTCTGCAAGGACAGCCTGTTTGAACCACAGCAGCTGGTGCTGTATACTTCACACCAGTGTCTGGTTTTGTTTTCACAGTGCCCTTGGTCAGTGTGATAAGGCTATTGAGGTTTACACATCAACACCCTTAACTGATTTTGATGGCATTGTGGGGATAGCATTAGCCTACTTCAAGAAAGGACTCTTCCAAGAAAGTATCAAAGGTAAGCAGCTGCCTAATTAAAAGCCCTGTTGGACACTTCTGCTGAGATTTTTCTTAGGGTAATTTGTCTGACCAACCTAGCTGCAGTTCAGTTTATTTCACTCTTTCAGTCCTAATGCTAAGTACAAATTCCACAACAATCGTTAGCCTGCTCAGCAGGATGCCAGAACTATTCAGATGTACAAAGGGAAGCTGTATTTCTTCAAGTGTTTAATTCTTTTCCATTAAGCTGTTGGGCTCTTACTTTCCCATTTTCTCAAATGTAATGGCTTTCCTAGAAAAAATCACTTCTGGGTAGGAGATTAATGGGTTGTTCTCTTCAGCTTTAGTGGTAAGTGCTGTATTATCATGTTCTGCTCTGCTGAGATGTGAGACTTTACAAAAAAAGGTGTACTGAATTGTTGGTGTGCAAGTGTAAGCACTTGCAAAGGAGCAGCCAGCTCAGCATTTTAAATAACTCTTAGTTTTCAATTGGAGTGAAGCTTGCCTGTCTGAAGTACTATTTCATAAATAAACTGTCACAGGGGACTATTTATACTGTGTTCTTTCAGGCTTTTTCTGCTTTTCAGTTCTGTTACCACTTGCTATGTACTAAACAACTTCCATACTTTAAACACCCCTGTAAATCTGGCATTTCCTGACATACAGTTACTTCCAAAGTCATCTTTTTTTATCTTCTGCCTATAGTTTTTGGTGTGAAAATATAGTGAACCTGAAAACAAAGGCTCCCAGTGTGTGTATTCTAATATTATGCCTTTCTAGGGTCTTTATAAATGTATTTTTTTCACCTACTTCAGTTCTAAGTCTTGAATTTTTACCAGCCTATGAAAAAGCCTTGTCTGTTACCGAGTCCGAACAAGATAAAGCACATATCCTGACTGCCATGGCAATAATAGAGTATAAACAGAACAAAGTGGATGCTGCAAAGGCACTGCTGTTTAAATGGTGAGTGGAGGGTATAATAATCAGTATATGATATTTTATTCTACTACTAAATCCTCAGATTTACTCTTTGGGGAAATCTTAGGTGGATATATTCTTCTTGTATTGTAGTGTAAAAGTAGAGTGATGATTAATTAGCTAGGAATCTGATATTTCCTACATCATATTAGTCACTGCAAACTTCTGTTTTTGTCATAGACATGAACAATTAAAGTTTTCTAGTTTATGTTGGGATTTTGTGTTGAAAGAAAGAAAAAAAAAAGTAGTAAATGTTTTAGAAAAGTAACAGTACAGTGAATGCATCTAGATCTGCAGTGGAAACACAGCTCCAGAGGTACACGGTGGATTTTAGTAATAAGAATGAAAACTAGTGCAATAGAAAGTTGTCTATTGACTGGAATTCGTGCTCGATGACTTAAAAGGGCACGAGTAGCACCTTGAACAAGAAGCTACCTTTCTTGTTTTCTCACTGGCAGCTTTACACCGATATTTTTATTAGTGAGTATGCCTTCATGGCATAATGTCTCAGAACATCCCTGTTCGCTGAAAGAGCATTTCTGCACAGCAGGCTTGTTCCTGTATTTTTCCTTCATGGATTTCTGTTGCAAAGCTGCAAGCAGGCACACTACAACTCAGATTTGATGTTAGTTAGATGTAAAAACATCTTCAAGGAAAGAAAATAGTTGTCAGCGTTACACGTTGTGTTGTAACATTCATTTTATGGCTGCTGCTGGAGAACTACTACTATGTCAGCGTTTTGGGAAGTAGTTATATGTTACAAGCGTAAGTGATGAAATGACACATAGCCACTGCTTTTCCATATCCTGAGGCATCAAGGACAGTGGTGTAGCTTGATTCATGACCCCACAGTGAGAAGCTGTTATTTCTGTATACTGTACGTGATAGATGGGAGCAAGAGGTCTTGGAATTAACAACTTCTCTAATGTTAATAGTAAGTTTAATTTGTGCTGCAAAATAGTGTTGTTTTCTCTGCCTCTGGTTGAACAGCTCATTAAAGGAACCTACTACAGAAAGTCTGAAGGCTTTGTGCACTCTGGGACTGGTACAGCAGGATGTTACACTGGCAACAGCAGCCCTGAAAGAATTATTGAAGCACGAAAAAGGGGATGATAGTATTTATGAGAGGTGCCTTATTGCATCTGCTGTTTATGCCTTGCAAGGTAAAAATGTGGGGGTCCAGAGAGAAGTCTCCAGAGCAATACACAGGTATGTGTTTTATCTTTCTTTAAATTGCATTGTAAATACATTGCTTTGATTACATTGCTCTGTCCAGTTGCAGCATTCTTTTTTAAAAAAATAATTGTTTTTCAAATGCGAAGTCCTCATTTAAGATTATAGTGTCAGCTGCCAGAAGCTTGCTTTCTGATTCGTCAGATCTAATGGCAGAAGCTTGGTGGCTTGGGGTTATTCTGTGTTTGATTTGATGGCTTCTTTAGTAGCTGGGCCAATTCACTGTTCTATGAAAGCATTTTTCATCATATGTAGCAGAACCCTCAAGGCAGAAAAGTCTCTGGGGCTTTTGTTTAGTATTTAACAATGCCTGAAGCTGTTCATTCAGTTAGATAAATGCCTTTGTTTAAATGTGTTTTGGTTACCCTCAGCATTCTAGAGAAAGGGAACTCGGTGCCTTTAAGCAAGACACACCTCGTAGCCTGTCCAAGTATGTTCGGAAATGATTCTTCACGCAAATTGTTTTTATCCAACTGCAATTAAAATTCCTTGTTCTTCACACTGTGAGGACAAGATATATAGTCCTGAGGTTTATTTGTTTTCTTCCCATGAATATTGGTATGTATATTGTGCATTTTATTTTTTTAGCTAGCGATATGGCTCCAGTATTGGGTGGTTTGTTTTAAACTACAACTCACATCTACTTTCAGCCAGACTGGATTGTTTTCTTAGTAGGAAAAGATCCATTTGGGATTTATAGCAACTTCCTACCATGTCATGGAAGACCAGGTTCATATGTAAAACAAAAGGTCTAATAGTGTTCTTTTCCCAGGAACCCTGATAATCCTACCCTCTGGTCTCTTCTGTCTCGACTAGTTCCGCTGTATGCTTCACAAAAGTCAAAAGTAAGTGCATTGCTGTAACGTGTGCTGCTTACACCCTGAGTAGTCTCTGTAGTTTCTTAGTATGTGGACATTCACTAATCAGTGTGAAAACTTAAGGTTTACATACACAAGCATGTACACAGCAATACATAGGTACATACTGAAGTTATATATCCAATTATTTACATCTCTCATGGGGCAGCAATTCATCTTCTTGAAATAATTTGCTAGGATTATTCTAACAGGAAGAGTCTGTACTGTGTATAACTTTTTTGTTTAGTTTTTTATGTATGTCTGTAAGTATATAAATGTATATTGGGATTTTACATATGTTGAATTTGGTTAATCTAGGCCATTTCCCTTCTTGCATTAGCCAATGTTTCCTTGCCACTTTTATGCTTATTGTTAACTCTTTTGCACATAAATACTCTTCATTTATCTCAATTATGGAAACAAAAGTAGCACCTAAAAACAAACCCCTTTCTGTATGGGGTGAAGTGATAAACAAAATGTATGGATTAATTCTGAATGTCTCTTCCTGATTCTTCATAAAGAGATCAAGCTATGGGCAAGGAACAGACCTTATTGTGGAAACTTTGTATTTTTTGTTAACAAAGATAAAGAGATCTTGGCATTACATCTTGTATAAAAACTCTTAATCAATCATGTAACCAAATCAGTTATTTTCTTTCTAACTTTGCAGGGGGGAGCTGTGGCAGGAAACATCGCACAAGTACTTGATGAAAAACATGGGAAGGTTTGACTTTCTTAAAATGCAGACTTTATAATTTCATAAACAATGCTAAAATTAATTCCATCTGATCACCTACACTGTTATTTTCTGTTTTTGCTGAACATTGCAGTTAATCAGTTGGCAGCAGGATGTCACATGTTAGATGATGAGAAGAACAACCCTCTGAAAAATATTCAGAAAGCAATCCACCTTTGTCCAGGTTACTCTTGTTTTTGTACTAGTGATTTTTTTTTTATTTTTACCTATCTGAAACAAAATTATTGTGTTAGCAAAAAAAAAATTACTTTTCTTGAGTTGTTTTGTTGTTTTGGGTAATGTTTTGGGGAGAATACCTAGAGCTGAAATATTAACTGTCACTCCAAGTTTAGACATGGGGAGTTAAACCAGACAACAAGAAAAAAATCATGAGTTTTAAGGCTTGTTCTGAAAATATGGCCAATTTGTTAATCTTAGCAGAAGAGATCGGTATTATATAGTGTATTGGACAAAAACAAAAAAAAAAGCATGTTCCCTTGGAATCAGTGTGCTACGCCAAGCAGAAGAGATTTATTCATCTAGCTTGAGAATTGGGACTGGAAATGTTCTGTTACAATATGCTGGTTGTGAACTATAGGCAACTGTTCTCCCATTACTAAAGGGTGATCTTCATCAAACGCAAGAAGTGCAAACTTAGTGGGGTTTTCAAGTGCCAGTTTGCGCTTGACAGTGAAATATCAGAAGATAATTCTTCTGCAGTAGTTTTGCTCTGATGCATTAGCATGGCTGCAAGTTAGAAATTTCATTTGCTTTCCTACAGGTACACAGAAGACTGCTGTTAAAAAGCATTATGTTTTACATTTTGCTTTGTTAGAGCGTCAACCTGTATTTCATTTTGCTGACAAAAGTAATTAACTTCCAGGTGAAAATTCCCATGGGTGAGATCTTTAACTGAGCTCTGTGTAATTCAGGGCAGAGACCACTCTTCCAAGTCATAGTTGCTCTTCGCAGGGCAAGGTCAGGATAGAGCTGACGCTTGCATTAGCTGGCTCTGGAAGTAGGCACCTATCTCTGTAACTTTGATGCTGGTGGTCAGACAAGACTGAGCATTATTGCTTAGAGGCAAACAGTCATCCGCTGCCTTGGGCAGAGCTGGTATAAGGTTCCAGTTGCCAGGTTCGTACTGTCTCTTATTTACAGTGTGTGGCTCCATCAATGGCTGTGTTTTTATGCTTAATCTGGTAAAGCCTATTCTAAATGAACTACCAGCTTACCAAGAATGGACACAAATTGCCTTTAACCTTTCTTTTCTAGATAATCCTGCTGCCTGGGCAGTGCTGATGGCAGCCTGTCATGCTGAAAACACTGTTGTCTGTCTAAATAACACTCAGCCGAAGCGAACAAATCTAGAGATGACACTGGTATCTACTGTTTCAGCCAAAAGTAAGCCATACAAACTTTCCAGTTTAAAAGAATAAAATAAAGTTGAAATGCTCCAAGCTTGCAACACTCTCTTGAACTTCAGAAACTTGCAAGGCAGCTGAGAACTTCTCAGTAGTGAGCTGCAACTGTATTTTATCATGTAAAAATGCTAAATCCTAATGTACAGCTAGGGTTAATTACTTAATTGCAGCTTGCTCTCCCGTACAAAGCCTCAAGTGCTTTTGTGCAATGATACTTCTGCACGCTGGTGCCTAAATGGATGGGCAGATGGTTCACAGCACAGGAAGACAGCTTACAAGGGAAGGCTAAAGTAGTCTTGAGTTCTGTAACTTTTCCAGTAGAGGAATAACCTCAGCCTCAGTCATGCTCAGTGTTCGTAGTGTTTTGAAAACTGGAATAAAAATTCCATGTTTGATTGTTCTGTAACTGTTAACTCAAATGATGTATTCTTTTTCCTCCTCTTCATGCTTTTTATTTTGCTATCTCTAAGTGTTCCTAGTAATGAAGGAAGCTGTGGTCACGTTAATGATCCTAAAAGTTCTCCCTTGCCAGATCTAGAGCATGTGTTGTGATATGACACTACAGCATATACAGTCATCTGGTTAAGTTGGTTTATCTTCTTTTTGCAGCTAGAGAAAATAACTTTCCACGTAGTTATATCCAGACTCTTGAAGACTGGTGTCTATGTCAAGCTATTACCAGTCTAGAGGAGGCTGGTAAATTTGCAGAAGCTGAAGCTCTTTGCACCAAGGTATGGTGGCATTGTACTAGCAAATTGTGGTAGAATTGCATAGAAATCATGATTTCTGTGACTTGCACACAGAGATTATATTTGATTTGTGTGTTCATTCAAACTTACAAAATGTGGTAGTTGTTACCATTTTCTCCCCTCCCCTAGATACTTACTTATTCAGTTCAGAACACCAGAAACTGTGTTAATAGTTGGAACAAAGAGTATATGACATGACAGAGCCAAATCTGCCCTTCGTGCCTTTATTCATTAACCCAATATTAAGCAAAACATCACAGAAATTCAATGGAAGTTGAGGTGGGAGACCTGCAAGGGACTTAAATGTCTGCTCTGTTGTGTTGGTGTTCTACCTCAGAGCCACAAGTGAGTGCCTCAGGTTTAATTATTCAAAAGTCTTGAGGCAACACAGTTGGGAAAGGGAACTAGGGTGTTAACAAGCCCCGAGTGTGTGTTTCATGTGTTCTTGAACAGAAGACTTGGCAAAAAATAAGCAAAAAACCCGAACAATTGGACTCAGCAGCACACATCTTTGACTTTCATTAAGGAAGATAACTGATCCCATGCAAATGTGCTCCTTGTTCATGGCAGTTCTGTATTAATAGGGAAGGGAGTTTTAGAAACAAAAAGTGAAAATCAAACGAAGTGAACATTCTGGTTTTCAAGGGGAAGTGCTTTCTTGTCTCCTCATTTGCTTGGTGAGGAGGTGTTTTCCTTTTCTGGCCAACCTGTCTAACAACGATCAGAGATTTCTAGACATCCAAGGTAGTATCTGGTCATAAGGCAAGGTTATGCTGGGTTTTGTTACTTAAATAGCTTGGGGAGAGGACAGTCAATGCCTGCAATTTGTGAAGAAACAGGACTAACACTCTCTGGTACCACAAACTCTCACTGACAGTTTTAGACCCCAGGAGTCTCAACAAGCAGTGTAAGTGGCGCTGGTGAGTCAGGCACTGCAGTCGTTCAATTTGAGACAGGCAGCGTGATTCCACGCTTGTTAATGGGGGAAAATTGCAGCAAATACCAGCAACTTCTGTTGTGTTTCAGAAGGTCTCTGCACGTCTGTGCATTCTTTGCAAAGCAGCAGCTTATTAAGGACTCGCAGACAACGTTTTTTACTTCTAAAAACAATGAGTGAAAAATGCAAATGTTGTTTCTTAGAACAGATTTGGTTTGAGTTGTAATTCTTGGAAGTGTTGTGATTTGAACAGGTAGCATATCATATGATTTGCAGAAGCTTCATGTGTTTTACCTGAGAAGGGTAAAGCAACAGATGGCTTATTTGCTGTCTTTGCTTTTTTTTTTTTTTGCATGATTTTTTTCCAAAAAATACTCTATAAGTATCTGCTGTTATTGAACAGGAAGTATTTGGTAAAGTGCTTCTGTTCCAGTGAGAATGAGAATAAAGCACCTTAGCTGGCAGAACTGAAATTGCTTGGGACACACTCAGGGTCCCTTTTAGCCCCAGGACACGTTTTTGCCTCCATTAACCCAAAACTTCTAATGACTGTGAAACCAAGGGGGAACTAGAAGTCTGCTGTTTACCTACCTATCGTTCAGGAACCTGTAAGGATAGGACATGTACAAAATTTAGGATAGACTTCAAATGTGTTTTGAGGACAGAAAAAAGTTTCCTGTTTACATGTGTTAATGCCTGGAACACTCCTTTGTGCAGAACAAGAGGAGAATGCCACATTACAAGCATCCTGGGAATGCTTTCAATGCTGTTTTCTATAAAGACTGAAATGGAAAAAATCAGAAGTATTTTCTGATATTTGGAAATGATAATTCTGATACCATGTTGAGCCGCCTTTTTTTTTTTTTAGGGTTTAAAAAGCTGCCCTGAGCACCCAGCCCTATTTTTACTTTTGAGACAAGTTCAGTGTAAGCAGCTGTTGCAGTCTCACAAAGAGCTTCCAGACAACGTCCTGGATGAGCTTCGCAAGACCGTCATGACCAGCTCGACTTCGTTTGCAGCCTGGCAAGTAAGTGTGGATCCTCTCCCTAGCTTTGAGCTGCCCTCAGCAGAGAGTGTGCTGTAAGAGGGGGAGAGTTGTTTCACTGTCTGCTTTTATTTGTTTACTCACAGCCAGTCACAGAGAAAACAGCTTAAAGTCAGGTCATTATAAAGTTGTAACGCTATGTTAACTGTCTTTAAGAGTTGAAATAATGAGGACTGTTAGTAGGAGCAAGCAGATGTGGAAGCAGAGTTGAAAACTTGAGGTAAACCTCTGGCACTGGTGTCTTTAGGCACCTGTGACTTGTCATGTGCGCGGGAACTAGTGAAATGGTTCAAAAACCATAAGAAGTAAAAGGTTGCCTCATGTGGTAATGTACAATTCTTTATTCAGGGTCTGAAAACCCGAGTCTCTTGTCTGTGATTTCCTGACGTCGGGTGTCATGGTCCTTTTGAGTGAGTTGAGCCTACAAGGAAAGAGGAATCCCTCCCAGCAACTCTCTCCCTTCTGTGGCATCTCTAGGGCTCATTTGTGTGTGGTGCTTTTGTGAGACAATCTGAGAAGTCTGTCTGACACATGCCAAGAGATCTTTCTGGTGATTGAGCATATTTATTTATTTATTTCCTCGCTGTTGCCGCTAGTAACAATCTTACTTTGCCAATGTCAGCAGCATGTTGTTCAGAAAAATTCTGTGAATGCTTACAGACCTTTATGTAGCTGCAGGAATTGTGGTGCCCCCTCAGCCTGTCGAACAAATAAATCCCTGCTTGTGGTTAGATTCACCAAAGTTGATTTCTGTCTTAGAAGATCAGTGCAAGGCTGCTGTAGAGATCTCACTTGTTACAAGGCTGCAGATCCTCTTCCCTTCTGGACCATATGAGTACTGTTTGTGGACACGTGCTTTTTTGATGTGTTTTTCTTTGGTTTGTGAGACTTAATCTTTCTGAACTCCTTCAGATTCTATTTGCAAAATATGGGGGCATGCTAGACATGATGGTATCCTCTGTTTTAGTAGTATTGTCTGAAAGTGAAATTAGGGCTTATATGCATTCTTCAAGCATCCCTTGCTTAGCCAAGTGTCATCTTGCTTACAAGCAGAAAGAATAAGTGAACTGAAAGTGTATATGATTTGTGCAGAGAGAAGGGTTTTGTTTTTTCATCCAGGGCACAGATAAGATACCTCAGAGGAAGATCTCTTCAGTCTTCAAATAAAGAAGATATTTCTCAAGGCTTCGGTAGTGTTCTGGAAAAGCCTGACTGCTACAGCTGTTCCTAGTGGATAGATCTATGCTTTTATGTTTTCTGGCTCTAGACTTCCTTAGAGTTTGATAAACTTTTTGTCGCAGAAGTATCCATTGTGATGCCTTACAGTTTTACTAAGTTAGAGGGACCGATAACTTTGCTTTCTGCTTAAGTTTTTGGCTTTTCTCTAAAAGGATTTGAGAGTTGCCTTGCAGGATTTGGGAGTGGTACTGAACTGCTCTTCTGAAGGCTGTTATGCTTTCTGTGCTTACCAGGAAAATATAGAAAAGCTGATCTGGCAGAACTGCTGTTGTGCCTTTGCGTGAGGGGTCTCTGCTCCTCATCCTGAGAGTGAAGATAGCTGTATCGTCAGCTGCATAGATCTGAGACAAAGGAAAGCTTTTTTTTTTTTTGCGCAGGAATGGATGTTGTACTTTACAAAGCGGTCCTGCATCTTGATGTCAGGAAGGCACACCGTCACTAGTACCAATAAATGCTTTCTAGCCTGTCTTTTCTAATGATAAATAACTTTTTATACATCAGAAAGGATTAAGAATTTTGGCCCTTCTCGTACCAGGCAGTCATTAGCTAACAAGTCTAAAGACCTTTGCTTAAAAGCAAGCGAATTGTGTTTTTATAAGAAATTTCTTTATTTGCTTGGTGATCCAGCAAAGAATATTTCTAGATGTGGCTTATGCATCTTGATATGTATTGTGTACACCTGAGGGATTTGCAAACTTGTGGCTGCATGTGCTTCAAAAAATGTGATGTAGCTACAGAATTAAAGAGGGAGAAGTTAGAATCCTTTTCCTTCTCTTCATGACCAAATGCAAGACATCTTGTGCTGGTGGAGCAGGCAGCAGGAGCATGAAACTCTGCACGGACTCCAGTGTCTAATTCTGAAATAGGGTTCAACCCATCATGTGAGCTCAGGCTCACATCGTAATGTCTTTCCTGTTCCTGGTATTACTTGGATGGGCTGGAGGAACCTTTGTTTCAGAGGGAAAAAAAAATTAACTTTTAATCTCCACATATCTTTCAGAGACACGTGAGGCACCACGCCATGCTCTTCTGATCTGAAGGATGGCTTTCACAAAGCTGGTCCTGTAATTTGCTCACCTTTGAGCAACCTCCAGATTAAGACAGCTGCCAAACAATTGTCCATGGGCGGTCAAGGGCATTCCAAAATTAGTTACTGCAGTGAGGGGAACTGCCTGCTCTGCAGCAGACTTCCTTTTTTTCCTGCAGTGTGTTGTTGAAATAAGGGCTGTGTGGCTGGTGGCATTTTAGCTAATAGTATGCTGTGGTACTCTCACAAAATGAAACTACGTCATATTGCGTAACAGGTGTGGGTTTTGTTGGCTCCATAACTGGTTTTGTTGGTTGTTTATTTTCAGTGGCTGGCAAAAGTGTACCAGTCTCAGAGGATGATGGTTGGAGCGGAGATGTGTTACAGGAAGAGCCTGCAGTTGGCGTCACAGCAGGGCAGCTGGATCGGGAAGCTCTCCAGTCTGCTCAGGCTAGCTATGCTCGCACTGGAAGTCTGCACGGTAGGATAATCAGATTTCTACAACTGCACGATTTAGAAGGAGTTCATGGAATGTAGGGCTTCTGCATTGTTTAAATGAAGCCCCTGTTTAAATGACGTTGCATTTTGTGAATGACAGCTAGAATAAAATGAGATTGCAAGGGGCAGGACTGTTTTTAGAACATCTCTTTGTAAAGAGATGTTGCTGTACAACAATCATGTAGAACCACTGCGTATATAAAGAGATTAACTTGTTCAGTAGGGCTTATTTCTCTAAAACCAGATTCAGTTTGATCACCCATATTGACATGCCCATCAAGAGTCTGTCCTCTTGTTCAGCCAACTGCCTTAATAAATTTTTTTCCTGCCTGAAGGCTTCAGTCAAGTTCAAAGTAACTTTGTGTGGTTATTTCTAGATATGGTGCCTTACCTTGAAGTATAAAAACAACCTAAAGGAAGTGTACCTTATCCTGCACTTAGAGGCCAGGTGAACATAGCTCAATATCTTGGCGAGTGTCTGTTCCCTTCGAGCATTGTCACTCTGGTAGTGCACTTCAGGTTTCTAGACTTCTTTAAAGCCTGATGTAAAACACAGATATTGCTGTGATCTTGACTGACCCTTTCTCATGTGTATTAACAGATGATCGTGCTACCAGCCATAATCAAAATCAGGCAAAGGAACACCGTATATCCTGGGTGCTTATGTAAGAAAAGGCAGTTGGTTGTACTGAGGATAAAGCTGCAAAGCTGTTCCTCTTGACTGGAAAAGAGTATCCCTCTCAGTGCAGACAAGTTTCTTTCTCACAGTCCATATGCTTCAAAAGGCAGAATTTGTCAAGGGACAGGATTTTTCCTCCCATGATTCTTTTGTCTGTTTTCTAGTGGTGTGCTCCCTGTTTCCTATAGCTCCTAAATGCCACCACAGGTTACAAGGTACCTTTTAACTTAATGAATGCTGCTTTTTCAAGTGCTGGCCTGAATTGGCTGATAATGTAAAAGATGTTGTCTAAAAAAGTAATTAGTATGGATTTGGTTGTCTCCTCTCTTCTTTTTGCATGAGGCGAGCAGCTGATGAGTGGATTTCTCTTCTATCTCTCTAATCTGCAGTGGCTTAATGAAATGTGCAAAAGCCTCGTGCAAACCTTGCTCAGATCCAAGAAAGCTCTCTGTTTGAACATTGCTCGTCTCACGATTATCTGCACAAATGAAAATTTGGGCACCCCTTCAAGTACATTCGTTTGAATGCCATCCGGACACAATGGGGAATAATAAGATTTTTCTTAAGCCAAAAAATACAGAAATTTGCTCAGTCGGTGCTGTATTATATAATTACCATCTTGGAGGGTTTTTTTTTTTAACTTCTCATAAAGTATGATGTCGCTGCTGTGGATAAATATTACATTCTAGAGCAGTCTTGCACATGGGCTGAAGAGCAAACAAGGCTTTGTGATTAAAACAAGCATTACTAAAACATGTATGGAAAAAATAAAAAGATTCTTTGCATAAAGAAGCAAATGAAACGCTGGCAAGACTGCTCCTACAATACTTAGTGTGACTATTCCAGGCTCTTCTAAGCACTGTTTGTTAGGTTGTTTTGGGGGTTTTTTTTAAGAAATCTCTTCCTAACCTGCCAAATACCTTCTATAACTCAGAACAGCTTGGATTAAACCTGCTCTCCAGGGAGCTGCAAACAAAATCCAATTTACACTGCATACTACAGTAAAGCCTTTTCTTAGTGTTTTTTCCCTTAATTTTTTTCTTTTTTTTTTCTTTTTTCTTTTTTCTTTTTTCTTTTTTCTTTTTTCTTTTTTCTTTTTTCTTTTTTCTTTTTTCTTTTTTCTTTTTTCTTTTTTCTTTTTTCTTTTTTCTTTTTTCTTTTTTCTTTTTTCTTTTTTCTTTTTTCTTTTTTCTTTTTTCTTTTTTCTTTTTTCTTTTTTCTTTTTTCTTTTTTCTTTTTTCTTTTTTCTTTTCTTTTTTCTTTTTTTTCTTTTATTTTCTTGGGTTTTTTTTTCCTTTTCTTTCCTTTTCCTTTTTTTTTCTTCTTATAATAGGCTAATGTCTCAGATGAGCACTGGCCATCCTTGATTCAGGAGGCAACAACCGAAGCGCTGAAACTTTGTCCTTGCCCTGTCGCAGCTCTCCTACAAGCACTGCTGCAGTATCATCGCAAAATGGGAGCAAGGTATGCGCGATCTGTTAAATTTAAATCAAACGCACTGTCTGAAAGTACAAGGAGTTGTTATCCCCAAATGTTAACTCCAAGAACTAAAAGACAGTTGAAAGCAGGAATTAATTATTTGTCTTTTACAGTATTTCTTACTCAGCTCTTGAAAATTGGAATGTCCTTGATGTTTTCATTCAATAATTTCACCTGGTTTTATAGATAATTTTGACAGATGAGTGTAGTTTCTCTGTGGGCTTCTAAGAACGTGACAGGCAGCCTAGTGAGTTGTGATGGTTGTTGGTTATAGCAAAATTGGGCTGAAAACTAATTTAAATCAATCAAAATCAATCTTACTACGATTTCAGGTATGTCACAAGATTTAATTGATCTGCCCAAGTGTTCCAAAATCCTGAAACAAGAGATTAATCTTAAGTACAAATAGCAAACAAAAAACAGATGTAACCACTCAATAGCCTGTTAAATCACAGTGTACTGGAGAACCAAATTGATTAAAAATGACAGAGTTCTTGTAAACAACGGCCCAAAATGATGGAGCACCAGTGAATGAATACGGCATCCCTAAACTTAATCACCAGTTTTTGCCAGACTTCATTAGAAATGGTGAGTTTGAAAATGTCTTGGTTAGGTATAAGCAATTTCATGTCTTGCCTCTGGGTTTATGAGAACTGCAGTGCCTTTTGTGAGTGCCTGGATTAAATGTATTTGTGTATAATATTAAGTTCTATTTGGATTGTTAAGATTTGTTGTTGTACCTGTTTCTCAGGCATGTAGCTTTGCAAAATGTTTATTTCATAGCTTGTGAACAGGAGAGTACCTGCTCTACTTGTTCAGCAGATCACATACTGAAAACAGAGATTGTGCTGAGTTCACAGGCAGCAGGATGTTTATGTTTCTGTAGCAGTCTTAAAATCTGCTATGTCTAATTTGGGTTACTTGCAAGTAAAAGCACTAACTTGAGTGTAATATATGAAGCGTAACAACGGTGGCAGTATCTCTTAGCATTTGAGATGCCACTACATGGAGTCATAGAATCCTTAAGGTTGGAAAAGACCTCTAGGATCATCAGGTCCAACCGTCAACCCGAGACCCCCGTGACCACTAAACTGTGTCCCCAAGTGCCACATCTGCACATTTTTTGAACACCTCCAGGAGTGGTCACTCCACTACTGCCCTGGGCAGCCTTTGCCAGGGCTTGTCAACTCTTTTGGTAAAGACATTTTTCCTAACATCCAACCTAGACTTCCCCTGACACAACTTGAGGCCATTTCCTCTTTTCCTATCGCTTGTTCCTTGGGAGAAGAGCCCGACCCCCCTGGCTGCCCCCTCCTGCCAGGGAGCTGCAGAGAGCGAGAAGGTCTCCCCTCAGCCTCCTCTTCTCCAGCGGAACAGCCCCAGCTCCCTCAGCTGCTCCTCCCCACACTTGGTCTCCAGACCATGCCCCAGCTCTGTTGCCCTGCTCTGGCTCCAGCCCTCGATCCAGCCTGGCCAGGTCCCTCTGCAGAGCCTCCTGCCCTCCAGCACATCAGCACCCCTGCTCAGTTTGCTGTAATCTCTAAACAATGGGATGTACAACTCTGCTGCCTCACTTTCTTGGGTGGTATTGGAATAGAATCGTAGAATCGTAGAACAATTCAGGTCGGAAAAGACCCTTGG